CTTCTCCCTCTCCCACTCCCCCTGCTTGTGTTCCCTCTCTCGCTGTGTCTCTCTCTGTCAAATAAATAAATAAAATCTTTAAAAAAAAAAGTAAATATAAAGGAAGTAAGTTTCTAATTCAGGAAGGGCAAAGGAATGAAAATTAAAATAAATGCCACGTCTTGCCTTTCAGAAAGTACTGCTACACCACGCAAGACAGAGTCCAACGAGAGGGAGACTCTCCCGTACTACCAGGGGAAGCGTCAACTGCTCAAACCTTTCTGGAAATAGACTTAACGTTAAAGCATTAACACTCTGGACTTGATAATCCTACTCTTACAAACCTAGTCCACGAAATAATCTGAACTGTCAACAAGATACTCAGCAACAGTCCTAAAATAAAAATTTTGAAATACCTTAATTATCCAAACACAAAGGCATAAGAAAGACTACTTATTACGCATCCATTAAAAACTACTATAAAGGACTTTTTATGATTGGAAAACACTCTTTCATGATGGGAAGGGAAACAGGATATAAAATGCCACATGCAGTATCATATTTACACAGAAAATATACATAAAATAGGAAAAGGAACAGAAATCAAGACATTAGTTTTCTTTAGATGATGGGAATTCTACTTCATCTTTATTCTTTTAATTTCAAAATAATCTACAACAGGCTACTAAGGTTCACAACAGAGAAGCGTATCATAATTACGGCTAACACAGCATGTGTAGTGCCTACTAGGTAGGTGCCAATCACCCTAAGAACTTTAACTTTTGTATTTAATTCTTCAAATATCTCAGGGTGATAAGAGGCTTCTCATCCATTTTCAAGACTTCAACCAATAACCACTGAGTGGCATTTCGATGGGCAAAATCAAAATGCAGTCAGACAAGCATGGGTTTATTCTTGATATGCTGAAAATCTCCTAAAGGATCCTGACTCCAAATGGAAGTCCTCCGATCCACTAAATCCTCATGTTTCCCTATTTACTGCATACCCACATATTTAACTCGGTATGAGTTCTCTGGTGTCACATAAAATAGGACCTAGAATCAGAGGTTTTCCCACACTCACTACATTTATATTTTACTCCTGTATGACTTCCTTAATGAAAACCTGATTTTTGACTGATTTTTCCACTCTCATTATATGAACGTGGTTACTGCCCTCTATGAACTCTTTTACATCTAACTTGAACCAATAAACAATGAGTATAAAAAACAGGCATTTTGTGGGAGAGTATGTTTGCCAGGATATACAGATTATAATTATATGTTGCAAAAAAAACTTTTTTAATTCTTCAAGCAACCTTTGGAGGATATGTCCTGTGAGAATCCTCATTTTATGGAAAAGGCTCCAAAAGGGGCTAGGCGCTTACCAATGTCAATACCCACTAATTACAGGGCTGAGATTCCAACCCAGTTCTGACTTCAGAACCCACATCTTAAACCACCGCACAGCATAAAATGACTGGAGCCTTCTGGCACACCAGACCTGTACATACCAGAATTACCCAAACAGCCCTGCCAGTCTGGAAGTTTACCACATTTCAACGAATGTACAAATTCAGTCAAATATTCATGTAAACATTAACAAGAAAAAAGTCACTGTGAAACCCATCAAGAATTTCCCCCAAACTTAGGCTATCCTTTTCTTGAAAATAGCACGTGTCCTGTCAACTCTAAGGGAGTAAATAAACCACACGGCGGGAAAAAACCTGTTGTCACACTTTTATAAATGCTAACCGGATAAACACTTACTTCTTGTGTGATGGGCGGCCTGAACTGTTTGTGGAGCTCAATGATTATTCTTAGACAAATAAGAACATTCTCTTCATTTTCCGTCTTAAAAAAAAAAAAAAAAAAGGCATTTAAAAAAAGAGTTATATTTCTGAGGTTATTTTAATCTAAAGATTACAGACTATCTTCCAAGCATTTTCCTGTATACACACCTTCCATCAGCCAACTCAGATTTGATTTGTTGAACACAGAACATAATTATCTCAGGTAAGAAGCTCTGGAGGTCTTTGGTGGACCATGGGAAGGGCATCCTGCCAGTAAGCTCTGGAAAGTAGTACTCTGACAGATGAAAAACTGGCACTTAAGGCAAGTCACACCATAAGTGAAGGTCTTAATGGTCCAAATGACACTTCTTCATTGCTTGAAAATATTGTCAGAAAAACCCACTATGTTTTTATTGGACCAGCTGCTAAACACTTCACATTCTTGGAATGGGGTGTTTCCACATCTTACCCATGGGAAGTTAGGACTCATAGAAGGTAAGCCACGCGGCTAACATGATACGGTTAACACACGGCAGAGCCGGGATCTGAATCCAGCTCTATCCCCTCCAAAGCTCATCCTTCCAAGGGGCCCAGAAACACAACAGAATTCTAAACATATCGCGACTAAAAACAGCAAGAAAACAATTTAGAGGCTACAGTAACAGGCAGGTACCAGATGGATTCACCTGAAGAATTTGAGAAACTCTTCATGAGCATCTACTGTGTCTAAAGTAGCACAAAGCCAGAGAGCCTTGCACTCTGAGTTTGTCAGCCCAGCCCTTGCCAAAGATTTCCACCATGACTAGTCAATTCCCTGTTGACTCAAAACAAAGAATCTTCAATTAATATTCCTTAATTTGGTCGGCAAAATGGGGGGAAAACGGACATTAAGAAAATCTTTACTCGTGTGAATCAGAACTTTAGTGAAAGGGAAGTAGTTGTGTAATACTAGATTCCACAGTAAGAAAACCGATAACCTAGATATGGCTAAATAACAAGAATTCTCAAAGATTACCTCTAAAAAGCGAAACATCACAGATAGAACATTTTTTGTATGAGGACGAAGATGTTCGTTGGTTGGTATCCTGTGAATTATCTCGAGTACTAGCTTCCGCAGTTGCTGGTGAGGAAAAATAAAAAATGTAAATATCAAATCCTCCCAAGAGTCTCAAATAATCCTTTCACTCTGTAAATTACACGGCTATCTGCACCCAGCAGGGGGAACCGCCAAACTACGAGACAGACCCCATTTCAGAAATAATCCTGTAAATTACTAAAACGTAATCCCAAGTATGTACCACAAACCATTCAAGATTTCTATAGTTGTGCACGAAATCAAGCAAGCCAAACTTTCCCTCTTTCACAACTAATCATTATTTCCAGGGGAAGGGCACCAGTGTGTCAATGTCTGGTGGATTTCACATGAAAGAGCACAACACAAACTGAACTTGGTTTGGGATCTCCCTCCAGCACAGGTTTGGTTCCTACAATCCTCTCTCCCCAACAACTGATTACACCACAAGCTGACTAAGCTTTCAGGATTCGGTCTACGGAGCCGACAACTGAAAGGCAGGTCAAAGGTGTAGGCCTTCGACTGGTACAATATAAAAATTTGGCAATAACTTTCACTGGCATTATGGTAATTTTTAAAGACTTATTTTTAAGAGACACACTGAAATAGTTATAGAAAAAATTGATATGAGACTTTTAAAATGATCATCAAAGTGGGGAAGGGGGCACAAAGAATGGGTAGGGGTACAGATAAAACTGATCAGAAGTTACGAGAACTGACAGCAGAAGAGCAGAGGAGGGCACTGGGTATGGAGAGGGTCACTAAAGGGTCATTCCCTCGTTTTGTGGATATTTGAACTCAGTGTACACACATGTCATCAGCTGGCAAATGTGAATGATTTAAATTAAAACCTTAACTGAGGAGGCATGGTCGGGGACAGAGTCATCCTTACATGACAAAATCCTACTTTAAAGTGGAACCCTAAATTTTCTCAGGTGTTTTAATTCATAAATGCTTGCGATTTTACAGCATGACACCCCCCCTCCCCCATCTGATATTTCTGAACAGATTACCTGGGCTGGTTTCTCCTGGAGAAACTGAACTTCTCCGTCTTGAAGAAATGTGAGAAATCGAGGGATGATATGTTCCAGGAACGTAGAATATTGAGGAGATGACGTTACATTCTAATTATGCAAAAATAAAAGAAAACCCCATCAAGTTTGTGTATATACTTTCCTTTCAAATTCACTATGTTATAATCTCAAGAAAACATAAAACATTTCAGCAAAGCCAACAGTAATTTTTAATGCTTTTAGACCCTTCAGTGGTAACACAGTTTTAAGTACAAGGATCAGTGCTTCTGAAATCCAATTTAAGATGTGAAGTAAATGTTAAAATTCACTGTAATGCTGGGGGAATGTGGAATGTGGCCCTGTTCTAGAGGCCCTGCTGTGCACAAGCTAAGCGTGAGACCTCTGAGAAATCACTTGGCTTCTAGATCTTAGCTTCTTCAAGTGGAAAATGAAGCGCCTCAACAAACTGGCACCTTTTGGGGCACCTGGGTGGCTCAGTTGTTTAAGTGACTGCCTTTGGCTCAGGTCATGATCCTGGAGTCCCGGGATCGAGTCCCACATCGGGCTCCCTGCTCGGCGGGGAGTCTGCCTCTCCCTCTGACTCTCCCCCTCTCATGCTCTCTATCACTCTCTCTCTCAATAAATAAATAAAAATCTTTAAAAAACAACAACAACAACAAACTGGCACCTTTTTCTAATCGGAAAAGCTAATTTATTGGTCAGATCTATGTTAATTAGATGATAATCGAACCTCCTCTATTATTAATCCCAGCGCTGACTTTAAAAGGAGAAATGAAAATGAACCTCCAGTCTGGAGACAGTGCGGTGAAACGGCTCCTAAGCGGTTTCTGGATCCCGCTTAGGAAGTGGAAACCTTGGGCAGTAACCTCGTCTCTGTGCCTCAGTGCCCCTACCTGTCGACTGTCATATTATTTCCCACCCTATGGAATCACATAAAGATTACATGAGTTAATTTAGGACATAGGGAAGGCTCTACAGTAAATGCTCACTAATGTCATCTGATGTTATTACCAGAGCACCTGTGGGCTAAATACTGAGCTGTGTGTTTTTACTCTTTCTCACTCAGTCCTCGAGAGCCTAAGGTAAGTGTTATCTCCCTTTCACAGGTAAAGAGGCTCAGAGAGGTTATAAAACTTGCTGAGTATCAGTTCATAAGCTTTAGAAGTGTTCGGAAATTGAGTCTTTAACAGCCAAGTTCTTTCCCCTATTAAGGCCTCACTTGCCCATTCAACAAATAGTCACTGAGGCTCTATCATGTGCTCAGCGGGGATAAGACGAAGAAAACAGAGGAGCAGCCGGGTGGTTCAGTCGGTTGAGCATCTGACTCTTGGCTTTGGCTCAGGTCACGATCTCAGGGTCCTGAGATGGAGCCCCATGTCAGGCTCTGCGCTCAGTGGGGAATCTGCTTGGGAATCTCTCTCTCCCTCTGCCCCCTCTCCCCGCTCGCTTGTGCCTGCTCACGTGCACTTTCCCTCTCTTTAAAAATAAATAAACCTTAAAAAAAAAAAAAAAAAAGGAAAGCAGATACAATTCATGCCCTCGGAGATGGGGGAGGCAGTCATGTGCTGGGAAGACAGATTAAAAAAAAGAACAATACAGAATTAGGATGGAGGAAACACTGGCAACTAAGGGAACACCATGTCCTGGATGGAACCAAGGGCAGAGAGCGCCTTCCTCAAGAAGGCATGTTTACACTAAAACTTAAAAGGCCAGCAGGAGTTAACCATGTGAGAAAGTAGAAGAGAAGAAGGTTCTAAGAAAAGCCTATGCAAAGGCACAAAATTGAGAACGCATGGAAGTAAAAGGCACTAAAACTCGTTTAGCACGGCAGGGGATGGGAGCATGAGAGCAAGGGGTTCAACTGTTACTATCGTGGGCCTGACAAGCCCTTGACAGGAGGCATCTGGGCAGTTAATTAAATACAAGTGTCTGAAACTCCAGACACTGATCTGGGCTGAAGATAAAGACGTGGGGTTGTCTACCATTATAAGGTAATCTTGGAAGAGGAGTCTATGAAGATAGAGACAGAGAAACAGATGAAAACCAGAAAAGTGTTGCCACGGGAGCCAGGAAAGAAAATCGTGTGATTCTTGGAACGTGTGCCTGAGCACCAGGCACCCTGGCCCAACCCAGGGCTCCATTCACACAGACCACCGTGGGAGGAGCCCTCAGGTACCTCCCAGCCTCTCCCCAAGCAGGCTGGGAATTCACTGGGGGCAGGAACCATGTGTGTCACCTTTTAGCCCCAAAGCTTAAGACTTTTTACAAAATACCCACATTCAAGGATTCAAGGAACATTTCCACTGGAAGATTACCAAGGTTACCAAGAAATCAAGCTCATCTGCACATAAGCCCATACCGACCGCTACTTCCATAGTTTTCAAAACAGAGTTTCAAATTCCTCCGATAAAAAAGATTCATTCGGGCGCCTGGATGGCTCAGTTGGTTAAGCGACTGCCTTCGGCTCGGGTCATGATCCTGGAGTCCCTGGATCGAGTCCCGCATCGGGCTCCCTGCTCGGCGGGAGTCTGCTTCTCCCTCTGACCCTCCCCCCTCTCATGTGCTCTCTCTCATTCTCTCTCTTTCAAATAAATAAATAAATAAATAAAATCTTTAAAAAAAAAAAAAAAGATTCATTCAACAAGCTGCCCGGTTATTCTGCCAGGATTTCAACTCAGCCCCCAGCTTTCTGATCCATATGAATTTTTCATGTGAGTTCTAACTTGAAGGTTCCTTTATATCCTGTCCTGAAAGATGGCCCACAGAACCTTTACCTAGCCCACAAATTTTATTTCTAAATGCTTAGTGAAATATGTTCCTAAGACTCCTGAAACCACTGGGATTTTTTTTTTTTTAATCTCACTCAGCTCATTCTGATATTTTTCTGGGGTGGTAGTCGTGGTAATTTAGAATTACCTACGGAGGGTCATTCTAGTATTTAATTCTTTGAAGGGCTCAGTCATCTGAATTTCATGGAAGGCCAACGTTTCTATCATACGGATTTCCAAAGTCACAATTTTCGAAAGCCCCAAGTACACTTACTGCTTCACTGCCTTTTAGTTCTGTGAATTTAATCAATTTGTCTGTGACCAAAGTCAGAAATTAACTTGCTAACTGCCAGACAGGACAGGACAGGAAAGGGGTAGGACACTTAGTGCCCACACTCAGAGGCTGGACACACACGCGCTTTCTGCGGGCTCACCAGCTCCCCCATGACTCCACCCTCTCAAAGCCGATGGGGCTATGGTTCTCACTGAGCAGTTCTTCCAAAAACACAGAATGCAGGCCCATCATGTCCTGCCTCCCACCTCTTTTTTTAGCTTTTTTGTTTGTTTTTTTTTTAACAGCTTGCGTTAGCAGCTTGGGCAGAAGAGAAAGCTCTTTAGCTCAGTCTCTGAATACCTCGGGACTTTTTTTTCCCAGCTCAGTTCAAGGCAACAAGTCCTTAAAAACGTCTCCTTAAGCGCCTGGGTGGCTCAGTTGGTTAAGCAACTGCCTTCGGCTCAGGTCATGATCCTGGAGTCTCGGGATCGAGTCCTGCATCGGACTCCCTGCTCAGCGGGGAGTCTGCTTCTCCCTCTGATCCTCCCCCTCTCATGCTCTCTGTCTCCCATTCTCTCTCTCAGATAAATAAATAAAAAATCTTAAAAAAAAAAAAAGTCTACTTAAAATAAAACCACCAAAAAAACCTCCCACCAAACGGAAATACTACCCAGTGCTACAGAGAGTAGGGCACGGATTCATTCCCACTAGCATTTATTTGATCCTTTGTAATTCAAATGACCATGCCAGAAGCTAAAAACATTTTATCTGCTGTTCTTAATCACATTAACTGAGAAATGTTTTATCATCTCTACTTTAAAAGAAAAAAAAAAAGAAATGTGACTTTCTCTCCTGCCTATGCAACTAACATGAAACTAACCATAAAGTTGGACAAAAAACCAGGGAACAGTTTTCAGGTGCTGGACAAGAGGCAGGGGCTAGACCACAGCCTCCAGGAGAAGGGGAGATTATAATGACCACCATGGCTCTCAGTCTGTGCACGCATGTCCTGACCGGAGCTCAGCAGGCTGGCACCCAAGGAGAGCAGGATGGTCCTGCTGAAGTGAGGAGCAAACACAAGTTCTGAGCAGTTCAGGTGGCCGGAATCTGCAAAGCAGAGCCCCAGAGAATATAGCGGATGGTCTTCTCTGAGACCTTGACTGAGGACTGGACTGCACGTATAAGTAAGATAAGGTAAGACCACCTGAAGCTTACCAGACAGTGACGGCTTTGGGATTGACAGATCTCAAGAGGTATCAGAGGTCCAGCAATGTTGGAGGATGGTGGGGTTCCAGCCTGGACACAATGCCAACACTTTCCTACCACCTCTTTAACATCCCAGACATCCAGCTGAGGAAGGACTGTGCCCTAGAGGAAAGCCTATTCTAAACCTCTAAAACAAGCCAGGCCTAAAATCAACCTGTGATGATATCCATGGGAGCTGGAGTTTGGAGGTTGAATCCGGCCAAATTAGAGAGACCTGGGGAACACCTTAGCCTTCCCACGGATCCTCCATGCCACAGCATAAAACCAAGCCTACGCATGTTCGAGGAGATCAGCTAGGAACTGAACTGCCTATCACAATCAAAATATCAGTACTCTTCAGAGGGAGGTCAGAATCTAGAGTCCCCATACTTCACAATACAGTATTCGCCACATTATCAAAACTACTAGACAATGCAAGAAGCAGGATAATGTGACCCACAGTCAGTAGAAATTAACCCTCATCTAGCCCAAGTGTTGTAAACGCAGCCATTATAAAATGTCCAAGAATAACAACAACAAGATGGTATTGATACACGATGATAATCTCTGTGAAGAAGGGAAATCTGAAAGAAGAACCAAATGGAAACTCCAAAACTGAAAGTATAAGAACTGGAAAAAATATAAGAAGTAAACTGAAATTTTAAAACCTCTCAGCCAACTGGAGAGGACACAGAAACAGTGAGCAAACCTGAAGACAGATAATAGAAATCATCCGATCCAGAGAAAGAGAAGACTGAAGAAAAGTGAACAGAGCCCAAGGACCCACAGGACACCGGGAAATCGTGGAACGTGGGGAAGAGAGGAACTGCTCAAGGTCACGCCAAGTGCTCTCAGTCCACAGTAACACACCCTCTATTATGTGAAAGTAATGAATCTACAATGTAAGTCTGAGTGCATCCTGAAAGTTTATGCCTCAAAATGGAAAAAAGCTGAACCACCAAAACCAAAGCAACATCCCTCAACGTCACTTGAAGTTCACGGTCACTAGTGTGAAGAAGTTGGACAACACTGCACACAACAAATTTCAGTTCTGAAATACAATAAATCACGTTAACAGAGAGAACGATTTTTGACTCACTAGTAAGACTGACAGAGAAGCGATTGGAAAGTACGCGTGATTATTTACCTCATAATGAAAAAAATGTATTAAGCTCATACCTCAAAATTTTCACTAACTTCTTGCATCATTTTTAACTTCGTTTCATCAGCTGTAAATGACAAGACAAGTCATCAGGTAATTGAAATTATGTTAAGGATCTTCATAAAATTATTGAATTTAGTAAGAGAAGCAATCAGATCTTATCAGTTTGACTGTCATGGTCCAACAGAAGGCACATAACTAGTTCCCTATAACGAGTCACACACACTCACACTCCCAGACGAGGATACACACACACACACACACGCACACACACACGTGCCTCTTTGGGGCTCCAGCTAGTAATGCTCATCACTTTGCTTCTCCACAAGGCAGAGAATGGGAAAATTAGGGTAAGAGTTAATATTGCTGTTCATCTCAATGTGCACGTCATTTGAACTGAGATGAATGAGTCACGATAATGCATTTCTTAACAACAAGAAGGATCAACTCACGTGTATTTACATCCGTGAGAGCTGCCACAAACTGAAGGTATTTTTTCATCAGAGTGGTTTGGTCAACCACCGTGGCCCCCTGTGTTGCAACAAATGCCATTTTTTTGTTGTTGTTGAGTTCGTTTGTTTCTCAAGAGAAAAGTATCAGGTCCATGAGTTCACCCAGCCTATGAAAAGAAGCGTATGGTGAGCCAACTTATTGAAGGCACAGGCTCACTGTCTCTCTGAAAATCTTACCTAAATGATGTATTAAGCTAAATACTTTTTAATTAACCCACAATACTATTCCCTCTGCTTTTCTGAAAGTAAAATTTACTTGCATCCATTTTTCCTATTAATTTCTAAACATTATTTTTATAAACAAAGACTCCCCCCCCTTACTGTACATCTTTTTTCCCTAGGCCAGGGTGGGCAAATTCTCTATATAAGCCAGACAGTAAATATTTCAGCCTTTGTGGTCTCTATCACAACCACTCAGCTCTGTTACAGCCAGAAAACAGCCACGGACCACACATAAATGAAAAAACATGGCTGTGATCCATAGAACTGTATTTATGGACACTGAAATTTGAATTTCATGTAATTCTCAAATGTCATGAAACATTACTCTTCTTTCAACTTTTTCTCAACCACTTAAAAACGTAAAAATTCTTAGTTCATGGGCTGTATAAAAACAGGCAGCTGAGGGGCACCCAGCAGGCTCAATCCACAGATGCGACTCTTGGTCTCGGGGTTTTAAGTTCCAGCCCCACGTTGGGTGTAGAGATTACTTAAAAATCTTAAAACAACAACAAAAAACAGGCAGCTGACTGGATTGGGCAACCTCTACCCTAGGTGACTGGTTCTCAAACTTCAGTGTGCACGAAGATCACCAGGTGCCAAAGGTGGGCCTCCAAGCACTACCCGGAGACTGTGGTTCAGTGAGGGGCCCAGGAAGCCCTAAGTTTTGCTTGCATCTAGCCCAAAGTAGGCACTTAGAAAACGCTGCTTGAATGAATGAATAAATGCTTCAGGTTGTTGATGACCACGCGAAGAATGATCTCTCCAGGCTGACACCTACATAGAGGGAGACCCGGTTTCTGTTTTAAGAGCACTCACAAAAGTTTCTTGAGAACCTGATGAATTTGCTTTTACACATCTTCCTTGTATATATAACCGCTTAATTCCACTCTGCATCAAGAGGCAGCTTCATGACTTAATTTTCTCCTTCTTTCTGCAGGCCTTTCAAAAGCCCTCCCTACCGGAAGCCCTTCCTAGCAGCTCACACTGCTGCCCCAAGTGATGGGGACCCCCGACTCCACAAAGCCTCTTCTTCGGGTCACTCTCTTCGAGACACCAAAGCACTTCTCCGATGCAGAGAAGCCGCCGACTGCTGCTCTGTCGCACTCCTCCGGCTCAGAGCAGGAAAACTCCCTGAGACTGAAGAGGGGGACTCTGTCAGCCCCGCTGGATGACCTGACTACTGCTTCCTCTTTCAGGTCACACGCCCTCCTCCAAACACCAATGCCCCCCATCCCCATCCCTGGGGACCCAAGAATCAGGGTCATGGCCTCTCCGTGCCTACGAAACTTGTGGTCGTGCCCAAACTCCTTAAAAGCTTGAACCCCCTCTTTCACCAAAGTCGTCCACTCTTCCATTCCCCGGGGCCCCAAGAGGCCAGGCCCCGCGTCCTGCCGGGCCGGGGGAGGTGGGGGGTGGCTGAGGAGGGAAAACGGCCCATCGCGCCTGTCCGTGCGACAGTGACTCGAAGACACCGGGGGCCGAGGGCCTGGGCCTGGCCTCCGTCGGGCCCCCGCGTCCCCGCCCAGGTGGGAAGGCCGGAGCCGGCGCCGCGCCCGCGCACCGACAAACGGCCC